ACCAAGGTCCAAGAAAGAACAAGGATGTGTTAGTTGGCTAAGCAAGTAAGCAGCCCAAGTGTCCAAGAAAAACATGGAAAGGCTTAGTGGGCTCATAAGCCTATTTAGTCTGAGCCCAGTTCAAGAAAAGGCTCAGCCCCTAATGCTGGCCCAAGGTTGAGTTTGTGGTACGCCAGGGTTCCATAAGACCAAACTAATCACAATCGTATTTGTGGGAGATTGATAGAATTGTGATAGATATTCATGACCTTGCTGAGAGTTGTTCCTCGGTTGATTATCAGTGGACTAGAAGGAAAGCCAATATGTTAGCACATGAGGTTGCCACGTTAGTAGTATCAAATTCTGTGCATCTGAATTGGCTATCGTCATGCCCATCGAGTATTTTGGGGATTTGCCTTCAGGATAAGCCATATTAATTTTGAGTTGGATTAAGTTATTTGATGTCTATTTTATGGCTTTCATATTTTCCTCTTATGTATGCTTGTTTGTTGTGGAATAGATATTTCATTCTGAACCAAAAAAAAAAAAAAGTCCTATGTTACCCTCTTTTTTACCATTAAAATGGATAATACTATATTATGTTACAGGTTAACATTATTCTATATATGAACCATTAAGATGAATTATGTTATTTTATTAAGATATTGTTATCCTGTATTTAAACTTTTAAGATGGATTATATTAACTTATCGAGGATAATGTTATCTTTGATATTGTTACGTCCCAGGTTAGTTATTGAAATGAAAAAGATAAATTTCTAATAAATAAATAAAAAAAGCTAATAAAAAGTAAAGAACAAGTTAGAAATATTTTTCAAAGTTATAGTGTCTAGTTTACCCTATAATTGCTTCCTTCCATTTCATCTTTTCATGGCCACTTGGCTGATAAAGGTCTTGTTACGAGGACGAAGGTCTGGTTATGAAGATGAAGATGAAGATGAGTTTGTAACAAGGGAATATGAGAATCTAGCCGTCTTAGCTCAGTGGTAGAGCGCGTGGCTTTTAACCACGTGGTCGTGGGTTCGATCCCCACAAACGGCGATTTTATTAAAATTCTCAAAATTATTTTAACCCCAAGGGGTAAGTCTGATGGTTAAGAAGGTTTGTTCTCTTCCTTAAGTCTAAACACGATAGTTAATTTTCATCCACATGACAAACACTTAAATTAATCGCTTAAACATAGTTAATTCTTGTCTATATGACAAACACTTAAATTAATCATTTAAACATAGTTAATTTTACATAAACATAAATTTGAGCATTTCCCTAGATTCTCCTTATGAAAACATAATATAGGCTTATATAGGTAGGATAATTGTGTAATTAGATGAAATATTGGGGCATTAGTGAAAAGTAAATATATATAACTTTATATATTTTATACGGGACGGGGTGAGGGAAAGGCATCACCCACCCCACCCCATGGACAGGGATTAAAACGGCCCCACCTCCGCCCTATCCCCAAAAAAACTGAGGCTTTCCTACTGCCCATGTGAGGCAAAGCAGGACGAGACCCTAGAATTTCGAGGAGCATTGTCATGCCTATCAATAGACCTCAAAGATTAGTTAAGGTGTACGCAAACTGGCCCGGACACCCTGGTTACCAAAAAAAAGGGGGAATATGAGTATAAGAAAGGGTAGTTTAGGGATAAATTAAAATATAATTAATATAATTAAATTTGGGGTTTTACATAGAATTTTTCGGGGTTGAAATAACAACACTCTTATAAAAATAGGTATATAGTATTAACTAATAAGTTAGTCTTTCGNAATATAATTAATATAATTAAATTTGGGGTTTTACATAGAATTTTTCGGGGTTGAAATAACAACACTCTTATAAAAATAGGTATATAGTATTAACTAATAAGTTAGTCTTTCGTGTAGTTCACAAGACCACTGATAAGTTGTAGACCCCTAAAAGGCTAAAACTGATCGAAGGGTGAGTTAGAGCATAAATTTAGTTAGGTCATAACATCATTTTGGATAATTGACGAACACTGATCCATCGACAATATGTATACGAACCATTAAAATAAATTGTATAATGGGTTAATGACAAGTGTTCAACCTATGACAATATGAATCGTTAACCTGAATTATTTTATGGGTAATTGGCAAACGTTTAACCTATAAGTAGGGGTGATAAAAAAAAAAAAATGCAAAAACCAAACCGAACCGAAAAACCGGTTCAATTTCGGTTCAAAGAAATACAAAAACTGGTTTTTTTGTTCGGTTATCGGTTTACGAAATTATGGGAACGGGTTAACCGAAACGAGTAAACCGGTTTATTATAAAAATAATAAAATATATATAAAAACAATCAAAATCAAAATATATAAACTGGTTTATTATAAAAATAATAAATTATAAAATAAAAACAATCAAAATCAAAATATATAAACCGGTTTATCATAAAAATAATAAATTATAAAATGAAAACAATAAAACCGGTTTATTATAAAAATAATAAAATATAAAATCGGTTGAAATTAGGGAAAAATCAAAATAAAAAATAAGTTAAAGGGAAAACCGGTTCAAAACCGGTTAACCAATTTTCTAGCTAACTAAAAAACCTGTTTGGTTTCGATTCAAAAAAATTTCTAAACCAAAAAACGGGTTCGGTTCAGAAAATCGGTTAACTGGTTCGATTAACCGATTGTTAACCCCCCTACCTATAAGGATATAAAATGTTAACATGAATTACATTATATTACTTAGGGGGCGTTTGGTTCAGGAATGTTAGATTATTGCGAATGTTGAATTACTGAAAAGATAGCTTACCTTGGAAGATTACTGGGAATATTTAAGAAAATGTATTTGGTTAGTTGGTGGGTATGCTATATTAATATGGTTGGTTATGGGGAATAAATTGGTGGGTATGTTATTTAAATTACTAAATTGTCCCCTTTACAAATATTAATATAATATTATTTTTATTATTAATTTTTGAATAATTTCTTTTAACCCCCAATATTTCAGATTTAGTTAATACACCCCTGCTCATATAAAACTTTAATTTATTATGAAATCACCCCCAGCTCCTGCCGTCGCTTGCCGCCACCGCCGGAAGTCTCTAAAAGTCCCCATCAGCAACTCACTGTGACCAAGAGGCTTCGATATGGCCGTTAATGGTCAGATCCCTAGCCATTATCGGCCAGATCTATTTCCGTCGGAATAGATCTGGCCGTTAACAGCCAGGTCTGTGGCCGTTAACTACCAGATCTCGCCCAGATCTGGCCTGATATGGCCGAAAATGGCCATCTCGATGCCTCCCGGAGCCCCCATCGAAACTCATTCTTTTTTAGGGACTCCGACGAGTTTTCGGCGACGGTCTGTGGTGGTTGGCCACTGTCGGCGGTGGTGGCTGGGTGGCAATGGTGGTGGTGGCTGAGTGGCAGTGGTCTGTAAATTGTTTTAAATATAAGGACATTATTATCCAAAATTTTAGTTAAACAAGGATAAAATTGAAATAGGATATTAATGTAAATTTATTTTAAAATGAGGACATTATTGTCCAAAATTTTAATTAATAAGGGATAAAATTGTAACAAAAAACGATAACCATGGTGATCTCAGAATACCTAAGAAAATGGAGGTAATCAGATTACCTCCAATATTACCAATAGTAACTACTATTGGTATTTGAAGATTACCAAAATCTTATATTACTTGACAACCAAATGTGGTAATCAAGTAATATAAGATGACATTATCCCAATAATCTGACATTATCGCCAACCAAACGCCCCCTTAGGATAATATTACTATTTACTCAGATCATTGGATTATGGTCAAGAAATAATCGAAGGATCGGTTAAAGTTAGTCCAGCACAGCACTAATAACATTCATGTATTATAAACCTGTCTCTAAAATGAAGTTTGTCTGGCTGCTCTGTATGTGTTATCTTCAAACCCACAAATTAAAATATTGTCCAACAGTCCAAGTTTGAATTGAGTTTTTTGCAAATCTCGCATTTAAGTTTTACTTGTTGCTGTCTCATGTTTGAACAATAACAAAGTCAAAAAAGGCAACAGCAGCCTGATTGTTTTCAAAACTTTATGTAAAGAAGAGTCTTCTTTTAGCCACCATTTGATTACTCAAATCCAAATTTCATAAGAATATTCAATATTCTCCAAACCTTCACTAGAGCATCATCATTTAAAAAGAAGAAGAAAAGAATGTTGATAAATGGGATTAGACCGAACAAATGTGGCTCTAATACAATGATAAAAGGGTTTAGATAGAACTTATTCCTAAAAGCCAGTTCAAGAAAGGAGAGAGTTCAACCAGTCCGCCAACTCGGTGATGTGAGACAAATTCAACTTCTAAGAAATGTTATATCAGCATGTATGACATACAAATGTTTTCTCGTTAATCAAAGCTACGTTCACTATCTGATTAGTTGGATACATCGGACCTATGGATTAGGTTTAAAACTGATTCAGAAAACTAAACATAATGTGTCTAAACAAAATCTGCAGTTGGATTAGAGTAAATGAAATTCTTGACAGGATGCCTAAACACACTCTTTCTAGCCTGTTTTATATGCTTGACTGAAATATAACATATTTGTGTATCTATCTGATAATCTTCATTGTAGATATATTCCCAAGAAGAAATCGAAGTAATTATTTATAGTGTGTCAAGATTTTAACTAGATTTCATTTCAATGTTCATCAAAGAAAAGCATCAGGATTCTCTTGAACAAAGAGAAGAGTAAAATCTCTGAATATACAGGAACCTGAAGCTAATTGTGATGCCAAAAAGTAAAGCTTTATCAACACAAAGTCACAACTTTTAAAAAGCATATTCAGAAGTCAGAACATTTTTATTACTTTGATGCATAGCTCTTTATCAGAAAATTCAATTTTATTAAATAAAAAATTCAGATTCATGAAGAACAAATTGAACATATATTTATATAGTAAGTCACTTCTTAAAAGTGAAAACCAAAGTTTCCAACATATTTTTCACAGATTAAAGTTGGAGAAAGAACACAGAAACAACATATAAATGAAAATTCAGGCTTCCCCCAAATAACTATCTTACAGAAAACATAACAGAAAATTCACGACAATTTTATTAGACTAATCTCAATTAGCCTTATGGAGGAGGGCTGAATACGTATCCAGTTCTTGGATTAGTGTTTGGCCCAGTTGGTTTGTAATCCATCAGCTCAATTAACTCTCTTGATTCACCTCCAATTTCAGCTTCCTATTCATGAATAAAATGTCAAAAACAAAGATAAAAAAAATTAAATTAAATTAAATTTATTAAAAAATAGAAAGAAAAAAAAAAACCTGGAATTCAACAGTGGAATCTCCGAAATCAACAGTCTCCATCAGCAGTCTACCAAATCCTGAAAATTGACTCTAAGAGAGTAAGAGCCAAGAACAAAAAAACAAAAAACAACAAAAACAAAAACAAAAGAACAAATCTTTGGAAGCAAAAACAAAGTCTTTTTTTTCAGTACCAAGAGAGAAGCAGAGAGCGAGAAGCAGTGAAAGAAGAAGAACCCTCGAAAAGCAAAGCCGACCCATCATCTGTTCGTCAATTCCAGACAGTGGGTAGAGCTTATTTTGCTTTTATAGAAGCTAAAAAATAGAGAACAGCTTTCAGCTTCCTGCTTTTGGCGTTCTTGGAAAGCGTTTTTAGCTTCAGATCCAATAAAGAGACTTAAATGGACAGATTGATGGTGATGGCAAGCAACACGCTCTGCACTTAAATTTTGCCAACCAAAGAGACACTAATCGAGTGTATAAACAAGAAGTATTTATACCACTCTTTTTAGTCAAATCCTGAAGGAAGGGTGGAACCAGGAAACTGCTTCTCTTTGTTGCCAAAAAACTTTTTTTTTTTGGGGGGGGTTTTGGCAAGCTGTTTAAACTTAATTTTCGATGATGTCAATGCGGGAGATTGAGAATCTTGTTTAAATATTTTTTTTTTAATTTGTTTTTCACTTCTTTTTTTTTTTTTTTTTTTATTTGTCAACATTTTATGGAACGTACACGAGCTGCAGGCTGGCAAGAAATTGTGCTTTTTATATAGGTTTTTTTTTTTTTTAATGTATTTTCCTACAGCTAATTGGAGAATTTATATAATATAGTTTTTATTAAATTATCATCAATAGATATGGTAAAATGATAAATTGAGTTTTCATATTATCTGAAAATAATTTTTTTTTTGTTAACTGAAGTATTGAGTTAACTTGCGTGCACTCGACTATTTTTCAGAGAAAATTATCCTACAACAACCTACCATCACGACCCACATAAATCATGAGTATATGTACTACTTTTGTGTGTAACAGAAAATCGAACTTGAACTATTTAATAATGGAGAAATGTATAAGGAAAATGTCTTTTTGTGCTTGGTAGAGCCATGGATAGAGATTTATTCAAAGAAAATATTTTTATTTTATTTATGTCAATTCTTTATGTAATTAATTGCTTTTATAATAGTTTAGCAGATAATTTTTTTTTGTTTATTTTAACTTATAATTCCTGAATTTTATATATTTTTAAAATTTTAAATGCATCCGTAATTTGCTCAAAATTTGAGGAATTTTTTTGATGATAGGGGGATAAAGTATTCAATGCCAATAGCACATATTTTTGGAAGTTGACTTATATAAATGTATTAAATTCTTGAAATATGATAAGTAATTAATTTATTAGCTCCTATTATAATGTATAAAATATTTTATCAAATGTCAACTAAGCTCTTTACATATGAAGCAAGTTTGAAAAATAAAATATTTCTTTAATGTTGTAGAGTTTCTATTAAATTCTTCCCATTTTCAAGATAAATTTGCTAGCTGTCTATTATCATATCTTATAATAATATTTATCTTTGGTATTGTTTATCCTTAACAAACTTTCAAAAAAAAAAAAAATAGTAAAATAATTTTCTCTAGAAAAAATATATCTCAAACCATACAATACTTCTCTTTTATTGCAGGATCATGTTAATGCTTTAAGTTAACTATCTCTGGGTGACCGAGTGGTTACATAGAGATTCTTAAATGTATTATTCAAGAGGTCTTAAATTCGAGTCCCTCTTCAATTGCTAATAGGAGTAGCTATTGAAACTTTTATCCGACCGATAGTTTTAAGGTTCCAGGAGATTAGTTAAAGTGTACGTAAGCTAGTGTAGACACCACCGGTCATAAAAAAAAATGCTTTTAAGTTTTTTTTTTTTTTTTTTTACATCGGGATAACAACAATTTCATTAATGACAAGGGCTAAAAGTCTTTGATAGGTGTTAGAATGTTAGCAACCAAACCTAAGGGACTTAATTGGTCTTTGATAAAGTATGCATAAAATAATTAAAGCAAGCGTGTTCATGCACGTGAAAGTTGAAGAATGGCCGCCATGTGATTTTCTGAACCAAAACCATCACACATGATGCACCAACCTTTAAACCCAAGACTTTTAAACATTTTCTTAATCTCCGATTAGGATAATTAACCTCATTAATTATAACATTAATTGATAAACAAGGTTTCTATTCGTTGTTCGTATCATAATGTTATCGAGTTATCAATAATCATATAATGTTCTGCTACCGAGTAAAATAGATTGAATCTCTTTGATAGAGAGAAATAAACTATGGGTATTGATTAAATAAATTTATCGGATTAGCATTGTAATCCTACCTACCAGATATATGAAGAGACTTTAAAGAGAGAGAACGATGAATACTGATTAAGAAACGTCATCGAATTAGTAACATAAGACCATTAGGTTTTCGAGATATCTTCTAAGATATGATATTTTTATTGACATGGTAACCAAGTTAGGTCTTTCCCACTGAGACGGCAAGCTGGGAAGTCATGCTTTTTAGGCAAAAAGTTTCAAAGATCTCCACTTAGCTTTGTTTTAAATGGTGAACATATGGAATGTAGATCCACTCAAATTTTTAGGCAGCATGTCACAATGGGATTATTATCTTTTAATGCTAAATGGGTAACAAAGAGATTAGATTATGATTGTCTCACTTACTTTGGATAATCAATACTAAAACCTTCATTAATGACTTGGAAAGAATCTACATCCAACATATAATAATATTTCAGCTCCAAGGTTTGACCTTTTAAGTCACCAATCCCAATGATTTTTTTAGATTACTCTGTGGTGTTAAATTTAGGCAAACCCTATAAAAAGTTGCAATAAACTATACATTGGGTTCCAGAGAGATTTCACCCCAGAAAAAACAAAATTGAAGTGCATGCAAGCTGGAACACCTTTAAAAAAAAAAAAATTCACCTTAAACCACGACTCATCCGCTCAGGGGCGGATTCAGCCACTTTGGCCCACCCTCAATTTTTTTTTTTAAATATTAATATGTATAATTTATATTTTTTGACCCATCCTAACAAAAATATTAATGGATAAAAGTATTAATATATAATTAATTTTTACTTTGACCCACCCTAACAGAAATTTCTGGATCCATCACTGCATCCGCTTATTCTTTAACATTAGTCAATTCAAACCTCCGTTTAGTTTTACCCAAGTTTCATCTGTGTCAGGAATAGATATCTCAAGTTCTTGTCTATAAGTAGTGACCATTACCTGGTCATGGATGGCATGATAGATCAGGTAGATTCGGGTCCATAAGCAATTCGTTATGACTCGGTTCCCTTAACTTGCTTATGAGTTGTCGACTCATTCTTCAATAAGCAAAAGGTCAGAGCTTAGGTCTCCTTCCATTTCTTGCAAGTTTACAATTTCATGTTCTATGTCACTCACCGATGGGGGGGTTCTTTCACCCTTCCCTCATGGTATTACTTCACTATCGGTTCTCAAGGAGTATAGAGCTTTGCAAAGTTTAATTATGATAGTACATTGTTTTGTTAGCCATAAAGATAAATATTTACATAAATAATTTAAAAATAACTTCTCTAATCATAAAATTATGTGAACTTTTGCCCTGAACTTACATGAATTTGAGTTTGGGGGTGTTTGTCTGAGCTTATGAAAATTAGTTTATAAGCAACAACTGTTTATAAGCAGGAGCGGATCCAGCCCCTTTGAGGGTAGGCCTACCCTCATATTTAAAAAAAAAAAAAAATTACTAATAAATATGTCCACAAAAAATTGCTATTAATATATATACCCAAGCCTACCTTTAGATTTTTTAAAAATGAGAATTATTATACATATATCCATATATCTAAGCCCACAAAAAAAACTTGTTATTAATATATATATTTCAAGTCTGCATCGTATTAAAAGTTTAAAAATCTCTCTACTTTTTTTCTCCACGGGTCTACTTGTTTTTTATGATTTTATCCTCAAAATTCTTTACTCTCTCATTCTCTTTTCCATGCTATTCGCTCTTAAAACTTTTAAAGACTAAAATTGTTGGAATTTTCACTACTCAAGGTATCACAATTAACTGTTTTCTGTTTTATCAGTTTTAGGGGTGTGTGTGTGTTGTTCATTTCAATTCAATTTATTTTTGGATTGAATCATGCTTGTTTTTTAAGAGGTTTTTTATTCTAATTTGAGGAAAAAAGACATTGATCTTGTGAGTTTATTTTGTGTTTTATGTCTAAGAATGAACATACTTTCTCAAATTAAAACCTTAACTATATTTTAAAGGAGTTATTTTTCATCCTTTTGCCACCACTTTCTTATATTTCAGACATCACCATATAACTGCTTAAAATTATTAAAGAAATTTGAGTTACTATCTATGTTTATACTAATAATTTTTTTTTTTAATTAATTCATATTAAAAGTCAACGCAACGTTAATTTGATTTAAGTTTTAGTTGACTAAAGCTTAGGCTATATCTGATCAAAATCATAAAAATTTATATTATAATATTTGGAAGCCAAAAATAATAAAATAAAAGAAGGTTTTACTCGAGGTTTACTCAAAATTTTGCTTCTTGTAGATTTATTCAAATAGGAAAGTATTGTGTTATTGTATTCTTTTCTCTTGTATTTTTGATATTGTATTATTATTTTTTTGCTTAAAGTTTGGTGATTTTTTAAAGTTTTACTAGTTTTTTGGCAAATAATGGTGGAGCCACGAAGGCTCCCCTTCAGCAAAAATCCTGGATCTGCCACTGCTTATAAGCTAATATAAGCATTTGAAATTTTAAGCAATTACGTGTTTGGTTAAAGTATTTATAAGTGATTGATAAGTAGCTGACGTGTTTGGTAAAATGTGGCTTATAAATACATTTTATTATAAAATAACTAAAAGGGTACTACATTAAACAAGGGTATACTATGAAATTTTAAAATTAAACAAGGATAATGTGGTAATATAATTAGTCAAATTAGCTTATAAGCAAAGTACTTATAAGCTAAAAAAAACAAAATTTACCTCTCCCTCAACTTATTATTATTATTATTATTTTTTGTTTATAAGCTCAAAAAAGTTATAAACAAATATGTCAGCTTAATTTTAGAGTTTATAAGCTAGTTTGACCAGCTTATAAGCTTAGATAAACACTCCTTTAAGGGGGTATTTGTTTGAGCTTATGAAAATTAACTTATAAGCAATCAGTGCTTATAAGCTAATTTTAGCTTATAAGTATTTAAAATTTTAAGCAATTAAATGTTTGGTTAAAGTACTTATAAGTAACTGATAAGTAATTGGCGTGTTTGGTAAAATGTGGCTTATAAGTATATTTTATTATAAAATGACTAAAAAGTATACTAAATTAAATAAGGGCATACTATGAAATTTTAAAATTAAATAAAGATAATGTGGTAATATACTTAATCAAACTAACTTATAAACAGAGTGCTTATAAGCAAAAAAAGAAACAAAAGTAACTCCCCCAACTTATATTTTTTGACTTATAAGCTCAAAAAAGTTATAAACAAACAGGTCAACTTAATTTTAGAGCTTATAAGTTAGTTTAACCAGCTTATAAGCTTAGATAAACACCCCCTAAAATGATTTTGCTTTTAGTTTCCGGCATTGAGAATCAAAGAAGTAAATAACTAAATACTATACAACACAATTTAAGGGTTTGGCAATGTTTGAACTAACAAGTGGACATGATGAATGTCAAAATCAAAAATTTGTTGGGAGATCTGAAATCTTGTGGCTGCAATTCAACAAGGCCTACCTTGAACAAAATTGACTCAATATCCAAATCATATGACTCAAATTAATCAACAGCAAATATGATGCAAAAAGAGAAAAAGATTTCCCTTCCATGAAGGGCAAAAAGACAAAAGGAAAAGGAGAGAAAGGTAGGCCAGAGAGCAGTCCAAATCAAGAGGTATCACATGCTTTGGGTCCCATAACCAGCTCATGGCTCACAAAAATACCCACCAAACTTCTGTCATTAATAACACAAAATATCTCCATAATTTTTGTAAAGAAGTGTATCATATTATCTGTATATATATCTAATAATATCATATTGTCTCTGCGTTTATATTCGAGTTTTACAATATTCAGATGATGTAATATATTGATATAATAAGTTCACAACCATTTTTGTCAATTAACTTTCTAAGGCATAAAATGGTTATACTATTTTCTTCCTCATATGATTAGTTTTGCTTTCTTTAAGTATGACTTGGTTAGAGGAAAACAAAAGGGAAAAACAAGAAAAGAAAGCGACAAAAAAGATGAAAAGGAGAAAGCGACAAAAAGATGAAAAGGAGAACTTTTTATGATCAGCTTTCCACCTTTTGGTGCTAGTTGTCTGTGTATGGTGTGAAAAGAAAGGCACTAGGCCTTTTGTGATGAGAATTTAAGTTTATCTGCAAAGTGTAGGGCCTGCTAAAACTTTTTTTTTTTTTTCCTGTCTTTTCAACTAGCCCTGACCACATCCTCTTCTCTCCATCTTTAATGCCTCCAATTCCCATCCATATTTATTCATTTCAACCTGGACACAATGATATTCACTGTTTTGGCTTCATTCAATTTGATTTAACTGCATGCTTGGATTTCTTTTTTTCTCTTTTTCAAAAATAGACAAACAACAATCTTCAATCCTATCGCCTAATGTTGTTTGCATATTCTGCAGAAAGATTCAATTTTGTTACAGCTGCTGGGTAACATACCAGGAAACTTGACATAATTGAGTTAAAATTCTTTCAGAAGACTGAAATACCAATAAGAAGTCGAATTTCATTCCCAAATTTATTTTAGTACACCTGGGATTTATAGTACACAAGCTCACGCTGATCTAGCTCTCACTATTTCATATATAAATATGTACATGAACTCGCAAACCATCTAATGGAAAACAAAAAGCACCTGGTTGTCCTGGCACCAAACAGAAACGAGAAAAAAATCGGTTACCACTTCAGCTAAGCTCTCTTTTCTAACGGAGATACGAAAGGTTCAGAGAATACTAAGCAGTGTTCCTCTCGGCTTTACTGCTTGGACAGTTGATTTCATATAAGAGGATGGTGAATGTATATGACTTCAGCTGTGTGCAAAATTTGAGTGGATTTGTATGTATAAGTCGAACACCACCAAGATGCTTGCACCACTTCAACCAATTACAAGTTGATCACCTACCTAATTACGAGCTCTCCTGGAAATTGAGTGACCTAGATAATGCAGCTGGATTGGCTTGTAAGACCGGAGAGGTTTCAGCTACATGATTCTTTTCATCGCCCTTTGGTTGGAATGCCTTAAAGAGTCCTCCCCCACCAATGGAATCAGTCTTGTCATTCTTAATCCCCAGCGTTCTCCATATAGAGCTTTTTGCAGCTTCGCCCGGATCATCAATCCTCAGTGTTTTTGGAATCCAAAGGCATTTCTCAGCATTATTTTCTTTTTGTGGCTCCTCCTCCCTAGAGTTGCTTGATTTTACCATGTTCTCATCCCTTGAATGCTTTCCTAAAGTTGGAGAGTTAGGACCTGAGCCGGGGGTTCTTGGAGGAGATGGTTGAGGAATCCAAGGGATGTTCCAAGTGGCAGGCATTGTACAACCCCAGTAAGCTGCTGCAGGGTAGAATGGCATGGGAAAGCCTGGAGGACAGAACGCAGGTGGGGGAACTGGAGAGGTCCACTGAGCTGAAGTCCATGGGTAAGGCCATGGAGCCCCGGGATAACATGGCATTTGAGGTGGGAAGCCACCATTTGGCATAGCTGCCTCTTGTGGCGCAATTTTGGCTGCCTCATCTTTTGAATTTGAAACTGTCACTGAAGATCCATTTGAATGAGTATCCCCATTTTCTCCACCTCTATAAGTAAGTTGAATTCTTAATTCTTCTGGTTTATGAAAGCCGTTTTGTGAGCAATTTCTCATCGTTTTATCAGCAATGTTTAAAACAGAAGCCATTGATTCACAAAGTGGTGTGTCTGAGCCGAACGTGAGTACAGTACCGTTAGTTTTCAATGCAGGATGGTGGACTCCGTTCGGAACATCAGTTCGACCATTTTGCATCGCTTCGGACACAGTTATGTGACGGTAGTGGGTTGCTGAGTTCTTGTTCTTTCTACGACCAGCACCTACAGGTACATTTCTCATTGTCCCACCAGCTGTCCAGTATCTCTGGCAGTTCTTGCAGAAGTGTCGTGGCTGGTTCACATTGTAATTGTTGTAGTAGCAGAACTTGGTGTCCATACTATTACAACGTGGGCATGGAAGAATCTTGTCAGGTTTCTTCAACGTCTTATCTTGTGAAGTGCTAGGCTCACTATGTTCTTCTTCTGTCTTCAAAGTTTCTGAAGTAGTGTTCTCCTTCTCATCAGATGGTGTTTTATGGTTCTCACTCATCTCTGCAGTTGCACCTGGATTCGAAGACTCGTCAGAATTCATTGGTGGGGATCCATCTTCCTGTTTAGTCTCAGTAGGCTTCTCACCCGATATATCCTGAATTTATCATAACTTCCATTAGTCAAGATAACCATCAAAACCAGATTTTTAACAAGCACTAAAAAGGAAACAATAAATATCAGAAAATTTCCGGACCAACTGCATTTGGCTTTCAACTTTCATGTTGGAGGGAGTGAATTAGTTCAACCCAAACCCCTAACCCGTACAAACAAACTGACATACAACATTGAAACTAGGAAACCATGTTGTCATTCTAATTCATCTCAACAAAAGGCTTACATCAACTCTTTGGAGTCAACAAGAAGTCCATGTGACAAATTTCAAAATGATGTCATAGCACAACTAACTATAAGCATATACTAGAAATCGGATAGGAAGTGGGGAGGATGAAACAGCAATAAATTAGTTGGACCTTTCAGTGAGGATCTATAAAATACTGATTCATCCAATTATCAATATCTAAACTCAAACTACCTAGCAAGTAGCTAAGTTCTCATCAACCTCCACTCAACATAACTCATGGAAGAAGAAAATACCAAGCTTTGCATATATTCATTGAGCCAAAAATCAGAAAGCAGTCTGCAATTACCAATTTCACAAGAGAACTTAAATCCCAAACTTTGTGAGGAAAAATTAATTTATTTTCCTCACAAAGTAAAAGCAGAAACAATACGTTAAAACAACCCAGGACTCGAAACGAATTAAATGGCCAAAAATCAACCATGATAAAGCAGTAAATTAGCAAGTGACTAGCTGAAATTATAACCTAAACCAACCAAAAAAAAAAAAAATCAAGGCAAATATATCTCAAATTTCAATCCAACTGAAACCCACATAAATCAACAAAACCAAACCAAGATCGACCTACTTGCTATTTTCAACTCAAAAACAAAGGGTCACTCTCAAAACAAAAAATAAAATAAAATAAAAAAATCTCAGCTCAAATCTCATACCTTTTCACACTCCATCTCTTCTCCATCCGCACAATCTCTGTTCTTCTCCTCCTCCAGCGACGAATTCACCGAACAAGCCGGACCCTGGTCAACACTCTCATCAGCAGAACACCACCCAGTAGGAGCTGCTGCTGACGACACCTCAGGCAGAGGTATCGTCCTCCCAAAGAGCTTGATCCCCTGGTCTTTCGGCTCCGCCATTCCCCAAAAGATAAAACCCTAAACAATAAATAAATAAATAAAACCTCTAAAACGGTGAGTTTTAGGAAGGTGGTGATGCTGTAAGAAGAAATATAGAAAGTGTTTTTATTATTTTTGTTTCCTGCTGCTGTTGTTGTTGTTGTAAGTGCAAGTAAAAGAGAGAGATCTGAAGAGACCTGACACGATGTGTTGTGTGTGTTTTTGAGAGCTGTGTTGTGTTCTGACGACTGGTTTTTTTCTTTTTCTGTGTTGCTGTTGTTTAGTCTCGTAGATTCTACGTTTTTTATCCGTTTAATCAGCCATCACTGCCACGTCATCAATGTTCAAGCGTTCTCAGCCACAAGTTTCCTTTGTGGCCGTAAACATATCTTTCTATTCTTTCCTCTTTTTGATTCTCTTTTCCTTTCTTTTCCACATTTCCACGTCACCATTTTTTGCCTTTTTACTTTTCCGTTTCAATTCGTTCCTCGCTTACCTAAATCTCTCAAATCATCGCCACCCTTTTTCGTGTTCCTATTAAGAATTTTTTTTTTTTTTTTGTCTTCACATAGTATTTGATAATGCCAATTAATAGGGGTGTTAAAAAAAATACAAAAACCAAATTAAACCAATAACTAAATTGGTAACCAAATCGAAAAAATAATTTGGTTATTATTTAAAAAATCAATTAACTGAAACCAGTTTATATATATATATATATAATAATAATCTTAATCCATGAATTTGCACAATTTCTTTTATTGTTTTTCATTGGAACTTATTTAGTTATTTTATTATGAACGTTTTATTTTGTTTAATTTCGGACTTTTATTTATATCAATTTTTAATATTTTGTTAGTTGTGGTCAATGGATATGTATGAATATTTAATTTTTATTTGGATATGTATTGTTGATGTTTATAATTTAATTTAGGAAAAATTAAAAAAAAAAAGTTTTATCTAATAAAAAGGGGAAAACTGATTAATCGATTTTTTCAAAGTGGTTAACCGGTTTTTCGGTTAACAAAAAAACCAGTTTTTCCCCCAAACTGGTTCGATTTTGGTTCAGGAATATTCCTGAACGAAAAAACCGGTTTGGTTCAAGAAAGCAGTTTAACCGCTTTTGAACACCCCAACCAATTAGTGTTCTTTTTTGTGAACTCAACAATCAATCAATTCTGTTTGATGTAGTTACGAAAATCTTTGTAAAATTTTTTAACTAATAGCCTTTTCCTTTTTATCGGTAAACTATTTGCGGGATATTTATATTTTCGTTTTCTAGGTTTAGATTATGTTGCACTTTGCCCTGATATTATACGATATGAACGCTTCAATCTTGTTTGGATGATGAATTTAAAAAAAAAAAGGTTTATGTTATATTTATGTTTATGCTAGTTTTATTTTGAATTTTTTTGTATATTAATAGAATGTCATATTAAACCTTATGGTGTTTAAGAAAGTAGGTCAACAACACTAACCTCAGTCATCTAACAAGATTAAAGTATTTATATAACAGACTATTGGGGCAAAGTGTAAGAAGAAAGTCCTAATATTCTCCATTATTAGTGGATCGTTAAAACTTAAGTTATTATGAGTTAATAAATATTTACTTGATTGCCATGTTGTCGTTTACTTTCAATACCTAAAACTTAAAGAGTAAGAGAAATTTATGTTATTTCATAATTTTCAAGGAAGTTTTTGTTATTTAATCAAATCTTAATCGATTAATTTCATCTACTTGTGACTTTACTTTAGTTGGGTTTTTATGCGGTGGATAATGAGAGTTGTCCCATTGCTTCACTTTCCTTCTCTTATCAATATCATTTTCTCTGGCTATGAAAATGACTCTTTCCGTAAAGTCCATTTTGCAATTGGTATGTCAATTTAGCCAATAAATGCGTGTTTCTTTTAGTTGATTCAGTATAGAAGATAAGGGCAATACGACGGTATGTTAGTTTGATGATGTTATCATGTTAACGATTACAATTAGACGTTGTTAGGTTAACGATTACAATTATTTTATGATGTTTTAATGGTCGATTTGTCAATCATTAAAAAGATCGAATAGTTATTTTTTGTGTGTAAACATCATTTATCATCCTAATAACATTACCAAATAAATGAGATTAAAAGTAGTATTATAATGAAAAAATTAATTAAAATGATGAATAAGTTTAATTTTTTTTTATTATTATTATTTATTTTAAGGTTTTATGAAAGTTTTATAGCTTAAATGTGCATGAGAAACACACCTTATAAATTATATAGTTATATAATCCACTTATTAGATTAAGATCATATTTTTAAATTCAAAACTTTTGATATATAACCTAAAAAACAATCCCTTAGGGGGCATTTGGTTGGAGGTTATGTGGGATTACTGGGGTAATGTCATTTTATATTACTTGATTATCATGTTTGGTTGTTAAGTAATATAAGATATCGGTAATCTTCAAATACCAATAATGGTTACTATTGGTAATATCGGAGGTAATCTGATTACCTCCATTTTTTTAGGTATTCTGAGATTACCAGTGTTATCTTTTTTGTTACAATTTTATCCCTTGTTAATAAAAATTTTGGATAATAATACTCCTACTTTAAAACAAATTTCATTAATATCCTATTTCAATTTTACCCTTGTTTAATTAAAATTTTGGATAATAATGCCCTTATATTTAAAATAATTTACAGACCACCACTGCCACCAGCCACCACCACCACTGACGACAGCGGGCCAACCACCATGGGCCACTGCCGGAAAATCACCGGAGTCCCTAAAAAAGAACGAGATTCGGTGGGAGACTCCAGGAAGCTTCGATATTATCGTTTCTAGCCATATTGGTGTTCGAAAACGGCCATATCAGGCTAGATTTGACCATTAACGGCCAGATCCCTGGCCATTAACAGCCAGATCCCTAACCATTAATGGCCAGGTCTGGGCGAATCTGGCTTGATATGGCCAGAAACGGCCATATCGGAGCCTCTTGGTCACGGTGAGGTACTTCAGGGGATTTTCGGAGACTTCCGCCGGTGGTTTGCGGTGGTGGCATGAGGTGGAGGTGATTTCATCATAAATTAAAGTTTTATATAAGCAGGGGTGTTTTAGCTAAATCTGAAATATTGAGGGTTAAAAGAATTATTCAAAAATTAATAATAAAAATAATATTATATTAATATTTAAAAGGGAGACAATTTAGTGATTTAAATAACATACCCACCAATTTATTCCCCATAACCAAAAATATTAATATAACATGCCCACCAACTAACCAAACACATTTTCTTAAAGATTCCCAGTAATCTTCCAAGGTAATCTATCTTTCCAGTAATCTAATATTCCCAGTAATCTAACATTCATGAACCAAACGCCCCCTTATAGTTATATTATTATATAAAAAAATTGACTAAATTATTTCAATATTACCAATAATCATATTATTTAAAAAAAAAATACTAAATAACAAACTTCCTTGTGGTTGGATGGTAGATCATTGGGTTTCAATAGACTTGAAGATCTTGTGTTTGATTCATCAGGGGAGTGACCATCTACCACATTTATGACTTTATCTGGTTCATTGGGTTTGTAAAGTATTTAATGGGTCTCGAGGACTAAGCATGTCCTGAGTTTGGCTTATAGTGAACCTCGAGGAAAGCAGGGCTAGAAAAAAATTCTAAATTCAAAATAATATTTTTATAATAGTATCCTAAAGAAAACAATTTGACATTCATGGAGCCTACAAGATATCGAGACTTTTTCAATACCTTATTTTTGACCTTAATTTGGAGAAAAACAAAATTACAATAAAAAATAGGAAACAAAATTATCCGATGTTTTGCCGAGTATTTGAGAGTTCACATCTCCACGGGCGGAGAAACCAATTTCACTACAATAAAGTTAAGCCAACTAGACGTCCACATCGGCATCTAATGTCAAGTGCATCACGTGAGGTAGGGCCCACCTATTCCATGTCAGAGACAAATTCTAGGGAGGCCCCACCACCAAAAAGTAAAGTGAAAAAGAGAACCCTCTCACGCCAACCACTCTAAAGTCTAATCTTAATCCCGGCAAATGGCGTCGTCACACGTGTCCCATCACTTACACGTGTGAAGCATCTCCCCTCAAAGTCCAAAAGAATCTACTTCTCGTGGCTGAGCTTTTCCCTCCGTAGATGTAGATTTGATTCTGCTGTCGACACGTGTACCGACAGAAAAGTTGGTTTGTTTCTGGTTTTTTACTCGTGTAAGCTCCTGATTAGCTGTCGTTAATTAAATGATAAACACGTAATCAAAGAAATATCTATATTTTAATCTAGGATGATGGCACATTGACACGTATAAAAGGTCACTTTTTCTCCTTTTTTTAATATTTAAATAATTTCCGTTTTGGATTTTTGCACACGCGAGAAAGTTGTGATTTGTGACCTGTGATGGAACATTATTATTAATTAATAATTAATAATTGTTGATTAACTTTTAATTAATGATAAAATTTAAGAATACCCATTGAAGCTTGCCGGCCGGTTTTATTATGTTGAATTGAATTAGACTTTAATTTTTTAAATTCGATAGATTATGTAAAATATTACCGGAATTTAGACTTGAATTTAATTAGTTATACCTAATTCCATATAATTATGTGGTTTAAGATTGTTTTTTTTTTTAATAACTAAGGCATCCGAACACAAATTTTCAACCGAGCTCGCCTAATTCTTAATGTGACAGAACACACTAATTAAGGTAATTACACAGATGTAATAAGCGTCTCTCTTGCAAATCGACATTAAACCTCTAGGCATAATTAACTCTAATAACTAATGAATTTGTCTGAGTTTTTTATTTTATGAGATCATAACCTTATTAAAGTAGGTATTTATATGAGGTGTATGATTTTTTTTTATATCTAAAAAAGAGAAAATTTATGATAAATGATCAATTTTCTTATAATTTTGAAATTAAAAATGAGTCGATGGCATATTATCAAATAATTTTTTTTTTTTAATAAATTTATACTTTTGGGATTCTTCTATTGGGCCTTTTTGGCCCAATTGTAGATTTCCATTTTCCTATTTGGGCCAACATCACAAAAATAAGCCCACATCATAACTACTATCTTCTAACCCTTGTCTTTATTAAAGAAAATAAAAGAAAAAAACCT